CCCAACACCGCCTGCTGTTTAGTTTGGGAATTAGTGGGTGCCCTGGGCAGAGGCTGGGCCTGCCAGACTGGGGATTAAAGATCTGCAAACACGCCCCAAGTTCCTGCCTTCCTGGGATGCTTTCAGCCGCTCCTGGGGTGGGACTAATGAGGACTGGCAGGAGCCAGAAGATGTTAGGGGTTCCCTTAGGCTGAACATGCTTTCAGAGAAGGTTTCCTGAGGTTCCCCAGTACAGGCCTCCAGCTGTTTGGGCTTTAGTCTTACAGCCCTTAAAATGGTGACCTGAGTTGTGGCACAAATTCTCAGACAACACACCTTTAGCAGACCAGCATCCCCTGCCCTTCCCTGTACCCTCTGAACAACCAATATATTGGACACCTTAAGAAACTGGGAATAAAACATGACTTTGGGTGTTTTCAAGTTCCACAAGTGCTTGGTTTGAGGGGACAAGAAGGGGTGCTGGAAGACATTCATGACTCAGAAGAGTTCCTGGTCCACCCAGGGTCTAGGCGTGCTGGGGAATGCATGTAAGGGGAACCCATTTATGCGTCTAGACTTGTCCTCCTACTGGACTCTGGGTGTGTGCAAGCTGGTATGGGCATGTCGTAGTGGCAGATGTAAACAAACAGGCAGCCATAGGACAGAAGGACCACAGACTCCAAGCCCATATCGCCTGGGTTCAGATCCTGGAGATGTGGTCTGCCCTCGAGGCTAGTGGAATAACAGGAACCATCTCCCCTGCTGGCACAGGTTTTTCTCCAGTACCCGCTCAGCCCTCATTAAGTGTCACTTGCTGTTGCAGTGAGAGGGCATGTGAACCAGGCAACCTGCCCTCCAGAGCCACTGGGGGGCAGGAACTGTGTGGGAACGTGTGTGCTGGGGGAGAAGAGACGCACGAGGCAGGGAGCTCAAGGACACATGCTAGGGAGTCAGGGCAGTCTGTCAAAGAACAGCCTGTCCGATCTCCAGGTCCTACAGCTGGCCGTGTCACCTCAGTCCGCTGTCGTTGCTGGAGTTTATAGGCTGTGAGGCAGCTGGACAGCGGAGATATAGGTCTAAAGGTGGCCAGCCCAAGCTGGTTCCTAATTTACCCAGGTGGGGCAGACATCTGCCAGCCTGGGAACACTGTGTCCTGGCCAGATGGGCCTCCCAGTGATGCTGCACTGGGCCTTCCCACTTCTGCTGCTAAGGAACTCATGGGGGAACCTCAGAGTGCCTCCCAGGTCAAACCCCTGAGCCTCTGCCCCTCTCATACCCATGTATCTGTGGACATGCTTGAAGTTGGGGGTGGCAGTGGGCATGTTCTTTGTGCCAGTCTGGGAGTGGCCCTCCTATTGGTGTGTCTCTGAAGAGAGAACATCTGTCTCGAATCAGTGCCAAATGTAGGGACAAGGATTTATGTCCCTAGTTGTGTGTTCAGGACATTGTTGAGTATGAAACCTAAGTATGTGTCTGGGTGTTTCTGTACACAGCACATAAAGGAGGAAGCATTGAGACGAGGCTTTTTTAATTTTAGACAGGGTCTGACTATATTACTTAGATTGTCCTTGATGCATAGCCTCCAAAATGCTAGGATTATGGGTATATGCCACCAAGACTGCCTAAACATATTATGTTCAAATGCATTAACGTCACCAGGGTTTTAGTTGGTGAAAATATTAAGGAGAGATCCCTATTGTCATCCCCCTGCCGTGCTAGGGTTGGAACCCAGGGCTTCACAAATGCGTGGCAAGTCTTCCACCATTAAGCTACCCACACACAGTCCTTGCAAACTGGCAAACATCACCAAGGCCCTGCTCTGACCCTAGGTTGTATCCAACTGTGTTGAGGAAGGTCCCCCACACTTCTCATGTGACTTTGGATGTGTCTTTTACAGAGGAAAAGGAGACTTCAAACTGAATATGAAGTCTGTGGCCGTGGATGGAAAGGCGTGGGTGACTGTTCTCTCCTGAGTCCTTGTCATATGGTGAGAGCTTACAGGAAGGCCCACTTCTTCTGCCCTCCTGTAAGGCTGTTTGGAGCACCTAGTGTGGGCCCATGAGCTGAGAACTGGCTGCTCCCAGGTTTCACTTGCCTTCCACCCAATTGCTCCAGTGGAGGGAAGAGTGTGGGGCTACATGTTCCTTGTGTGCCGTCGGACTGGTATGTGTGTGTGTAGGTCAGAGGGCAGTTCTGTGGAACTGGTTTTCTTTATATGAGGGATTAAACTCATGTCATGCTTTTTGTTTTGTTTAGCTTGATTTGGTTTGTTTGTTTGTTTTTTTGGAGGCGGGGTTTTATTGTATTACCCAGCTGACCTAGAACTCACTCTGTAGACCAGACCGGCCTCAAACTCACAGAGATCCGCCTGCCTCTGCCTCCTGAGTGCTGAGATTAAAGGCATACAACACCATCACCTGGCCAGGTGATGAGGTTTATATAGCAGGTGCCTTTACCACTGAGACATCTCTATGCACACACACATATGTGTATGCACTTTTTTGATAATACACACACACACACACACACACACACACACACACACATGATTTTTAGAGACAGGGTCTCTCTGTTTAGCCCCAGCTGTCCTGGAACTCACTCTCTAGACCACACTGGCCCCGAACTCACAAAGATCGCCCACCCCTGCCTACCGAGTGCTGGGATTAAAGGCGTGCACCACCACTGCCCAGCATTATTTTTTAAGACAGAATCTACCATGTAGCAAACTGAGGCTTACCCCAAATTCACTATGTAGCCCAGGTTGGTGTCTATCTCCTCTATATGATCTTGCCTCTGCCTCCCAAAGAAAGCTAAGATCATAGATATGCACCTTTACACTTTGAGGGGAGGGGTCTGGAACTCTCTGTGTAAACCTGTATAACAGGCTGGTCTCAAACTCACATATTCTGCCTGCTTCTGCCTCTCTGGTTGCTGGGATTTTAAAAAGGTGAATTCTTCTTCTTTTATTGCCCCTGAAGACAGGATTTCTCTGTGTAGACCAGGCTGTCCTGGAGTTCACTCTATAACCAAACTCTAGACCAGGCTGGCCTTGAACTCAAAGATCTGCCTGTCTCTGCCTCCCAAGTACTGGGATTAAGGCATGTGCCAACACCAGCAGGCTGTTTATGTTTTATTGTAAGGATGTTTTACCTGCATGTATGTACATACACTCCATGAGCAAATGCCCAAGGAGGCAAGAATGAGGTTTGTATAGCAGGTGCCTTTACCACTGAGCCATCTCTATGCGCGCGCACACACACACACACACACACACACACACATGCACTTTTTTGACGATACACACACACACATGATTTTTTATAATACACACACAGGAATCAAGAGAGCATAAGAATCCCTGGAATTGGTGTTACAGACAGCTGTAAACAGCAATGTGGGTGCTAGGTACCACATTCTACAAGAGCAGTATAAGTTCTTAACCCCTGAGCCGTATCTCCAGCCCTTTTCAATTATGTGTATATGCTTTTATGCCTGTGTGGGGATATGTGCATCTGAGTACAAGGTGCCCTTGGATCCCCTGGGGCTGGAGTCACGGGTGCTTGCGAGCTACCAGAGCTGGGAACAAACTCAACAATAGCAGTATATGGTAAGCACTGAGCCATCTCTTCAGCCCCTCTTTTGGCCTTTTAAGACTCAGTCTCACTCTCTAGCCCAGGCTAGCATAGAACTCATGACAGTCCTCCTGTCTTAGCTGCCAGCATACCTGGCTGACCTTGAAAGTTTCTGTGTGACCCTGTGAAGGGCCACGCGGGTTAAGTAAAGCTGTGTTAGGGGAAGCTGACTGTGTGCCTGGGTCTATGGTGTGGCATGCATCTCTATGACAGCTGGTAATCACAGGTAACCGAAGGTGACCCAGTCTTGTTAGCCATTCTGTGTGTGTGTGTGTGTGTGTGTGTGTGTGTGTGTGTGTGTGTGAGCTTCTTCTTCCCTCTCTTCCAGCTGTAGCTTCCTTCTCCCTACCAGGGAAGGAGACAAAAAGGAGCAAGAAAGTACAGGCAGATCACACACACACACACACACACCACCACCACCACCACCACCACCCTACCCACCCCCGTCCCCCCTCCCTGCCCAGGAGACAAACTGGCAGACCTTCTCCAAACAAAGCTCTGAGACTGCAGCTGAGCTAGAGAGGATGGACCTGGGAGGGGCTGCCCATTCCCCAGGTCCCTTCCTGCACAGAGTCTGGCTTCAGCCCCACCCAACACTGAAGCCACCCTCCCATTCAGTCTCCTTCCCTGTCTGTCCCTGTACTGCCACCCTCAACACAGGTGAGAAGAACTAGGCCTGGGAGAATAAAGGGCCTTGGGTAGTGGCAGGTTTTGGACAGGACTCCTGGGGGACATTGGGGAAGGCTAGGAGGGACAGCAAGAAAGGAGGAGTGGTAGAGGAGGGTCTGGGTAGAACCAGAGGAGTCCTATCGGGAGATAGGGAGGCTGTGGAACAGATTGAGGATCTGGGGCCTTAAAGGCTCCATTCAGAGCAGTTCTGAATATGAGGGGGATAGTAACCCCAGTCTGCAAAGGCAGACTGTAGGCTCAAGGGAGTGGAGAGAGGGAACCAAAGCTGGGAGAGTGAGCAATGAGTTGTGGGGGAAGGCTGTTGAAGCTCTGAGAATTTAGAAACTGAGGACTCGGGAAGTCAAGAAGGTTGAGCGCTGTACAGGTGAAAGGGATGGGGGGGGGGGGGCGTGGGAGGCATTTCAAAAATTAACTCATCCAAGGGTTTAGGAGGTGGAAGATCTAACTAAAAATCCAAGAGGCGTGGACCAGTAGTCTAGGGGAGGAGAGAGCAAGACTGACAGAAGGGAATTCGGGAGAGAGTCAGGAACCGGAGGGGGGTGGGAACTGTCCTAGTGCAATGAGGACAGTGGGCTATGTCCGCCGGCACCTGCAACTGAAATTCCCAGGATCATCCATTCCCAGCCTTTTTCCCTTGGCTCACAGGCCGGGGGGCCAGGCTAACCCCTTCTCCACTGGCCACACTGGCCCGACGCAGCGATGACCGTCACCTACACAGCCCGAGTGGCAAATGCCCGCTTCGGTGGCTTCTCGCAGCTGCTGCTGCTGTGGCGCGGAAGCATCTACAAGCTCCTGTGGCGAGAGCTGCTGTGTTTCCTGGGGCTCTACATGGCGCTGAGCGCCGCCTATCGGTGAGAAGACCTGGGGTGGTGCCAGGGGAGCTGGGTCCCGTGGTGGAGGGGATTGGGAGTGGAGCAGAGACCTGTAGCCACTGCATTCCCGGTCCTGCAGCTTCTTACTGGCAGAAGAGCAGAAGCGCTACTTCGAGAAGCTTGTCATTTACTGCGACCAGTACGCCAGCCTCATCCCCGTCTCCTTCGTGCTTGGTGAGGTTGCGCCTCCTGAGTGTCCTATTTGCAGGGGAAATCTGTTTTCCATCCATGCTTCTTGGAGACTCCCATTCCTACCCTTCTAAGGCGCCTCACCCAAATCGAACCCCCAGGACTTCCCACTTCCCACTTCTGAATCCACACCTTGAAGATGCCCACATGGCTCCACATCCTGAGACACTGGGTATCACCTAGTTAAGGGTATACTCCAAGATAACCTCATCCACAGACTTATCGCTAGTTGCTAGTTATGTTTGCATCAGATTACTATCCTCTAGGGACCAAATATGACTCCATTCAAATTCAGCCTGGCCCCACAGAAACCTCACGTGACAAGGATGGGATGACCACTCACATAAGGCCAAAACTCTTTCTTTTTATGTGTGTGTTGTTTGAGACAGGGTCATTCACTGTGTAACTTTGACTGGCCTGAAACTCATGTAACTCAGGCTCAGGGCTAAACTCCTTCCTAACCAGGGTTCAGGGATTATAAGTGCTGTGGTAAATATATCTAGATGTCCCTGGTGTGCATTCCACCTCCACCCACCAGTGCCCTCATCTTATTTTCAATCCAGATACCCCAAGCCCAGTGATTCCCTGGGGTCAGAGGAACATGAACATGTTCCTTCAGGCCCCTAACATGGGCCCTAGGTTTCCATTACCATATTGGGATACAATCCCCCATCTCAGAATACCCTAGCCTGCTCCAACCTCTTGGACGTCAGGGCCAGATACCTTCTTAGGCCGAATGACCCGTGTGGCCAGGGTGACCAGCCTTTTCCAGATGTCAGTGATACAAGCTCTAGGTCATCCCAGTTCCATGGCTTGGGCTCCCAGATTCTTGGCCCTTGAATCCCTGCTAAGCTTCTGTCTCTGGCTTGCCCTCAGGCTTCTATGTGACGCTGGTGGTGCATCGCTGGTGGAACCAGTACTTGTGCATGCCTCTGCCGGACGCACTCATGTGCGTGGTGGTCGGTACCGTGCACGGGCGCGACGATCGAGGCCGCCTCTACAGGCGCACGCTCATGCGCTACGCAGGGCTCTCGGCGGTGCTGATCCTTCGGTCTGTCAGCACAGCCGTCTTCAAGCGGTTCCCCACCATAGACCACGTGGTGGAGGCTGGTGAGTCTCTGGCCAGAGGATGGCAGGGCCAGACAGGAGAGCGGTGCGAGTAACCCCAGATCACACCCCTCCAGGATTTATGACCCGCGAGGAGCGCAAGAAGTTCGAGAACTTAAACTCATCCTACAACAAGTACTGGGTGCCCTGCGTGTGGTTCTCTAACCTGGCGGCGCAGGCGCGGCGAGAGGGGCGCATCCGCGACAACAGTGCCCTTAAGCTGCTGCTGGAGGTGGGCCTGCAAGGAAGTCATTCTTCTAGAATAACAGGCAAACTGTGCACTTTGGGGTGGGTCGAGGGCGGCTTGACCCCACACCTGCCACGCGTCCATACTCCACACACCCTTACCAATACACTTATTTCCATGGGGGCAGCCCTATAGTCCATGGTACCTCCACCCAGTTGTACATCACCACCAAATACCATGTAGCTCCTGGAAACACTCGCCTAATATGTGACCCTCTCCATCCGCGTACGCATACTTAATGTCCACATGAGTTCCGTATTCAACCCCTTCATGATTCGCATCTGCCCATAGGAGCTGAATGCGTTTCGGAGCAAATGTGGGATGCTGTTTCACTACGACTGGATTAGCATACCCCTCGTCTACACCCAGGTAACTTCTCCGTGCGTCCGTTTATACTTAGCATAGGAGACGCTATTCCTCTTAAGGGAAAATGGAGGTCACTCTTAATGGCACACATCTCTTCCCAGCATTCGGGAAACTGAGGCAAGAGGACCCAGAGAACCAAGGGTTTGAAACCAGGCTAGGTTACATAGCGAGATCATTTCTCAATTAAAAAGAGTGTAGGGACTGAAAGCCAGCTAAAACTCAGCCATCCTGTTGTTCATTGTTGGTCCTGATGTTTCCGAGACTCCCTGAGTCACATGGGTGGGGGTCAGACGTGATCTCGTTTTCATTTGCCCCGCCCCCAGGTAGTGACCATCGCAGTGTACAGCTACTTCCTTGCTTGCCTCATCGGCCGTCAATTCCTAGACCCTGCACAGGGCTACAAGGACCACACCTTGGACCTGTGCATTCCCATCTTCACCTTACTGCAGTTCTTCTTCTACGCTGGCTGGCTTAAGGTGGGTGGGGCCGGGGGCCCGGAACGGAAGTGTGGGGTGTGAAAAGATTCTCCAAGTTCCACCTGCCTCTTTCTCTGGACTCAGGTAGCAGAGCAGCTCATCAACCCTTTTGGAGAGGACGACGACGACTTTGAGACCAACTTTCTTATTGACCGCAACTTCCAGGTCAGAGTCTCCTCTTGGTGGCTGGTTTCCTAAGTGGTCCCAGACTCGCCTAGGCCTCACCCTAAACACTCTTCTCTCTTTGGTCACGCACCATGAGGGCTCCACCTACCCCTCCCTGCGTGTCCACATCCTCAGGTGTCGATGCTAGCCGTGGACGAGATGTATGACGACTTGGCTATGCTGGAAAAAGATTTATACTGGGATGCGGCCGAGGCTCGCGCGCCCTACACCGCTGCCACCGCTTTCCTGAGGCAGCAGCCCTTCCAGGGCTCCACCTTTGATATAGCGTGAGTTAGAGCGGTGGGCGTGGCTTAGGGCTCTGCTGGCCTCGGAAGGTCTGTGGTATGAGGGGTTAATCCGGGTACTCTAGTAACCAAACTAGGTTCTTTGACCCAGAAAGGTGGCGTAAACGAGGAATCCTAGCACTCGGGAGGTGGAGCCAAGGAAATCAGCAGTTTGGCTATATAGAAAGATCAAGTTGGGGCTGTGACTGGGGTGCGAACTGGTATTCAGTTAGAGACTGGGGGCAGATCTAAAGACTTTGAGAGACAAGGTAGAGCCAAGTATGGCTAGGTCTTTCAGAGGGACACAAAGGAGTGGGAGGAGATAGGTAAATCTCAGGTGCTTCGGACCCCCCCTACCCCCTTTGAGGATCAAGAAGGGAAAGGCCAGGAAGAGGGTAGGGTCTAGTCTACCAAGCAAGAAGTTCTTCCATCTCAAACACCGCTAAACAGACAGAGATAAGTAGCTAGGTAGATAGGTAGATTAGATAGATAGATAGATAGATAGATAGATAGATAGATAGATAGATAGATAGATGATAGATGATAGATAGATAGATAGATTAGATAGCTCCGGATTTGATAGCATGTATCTGTAGCCAGTCCTAGGACAGGGGAGACAGAGGTAGAGGCTCCTTTACCAAGTTTGAGGCCAATCTGGACTGCATAGTGAATTTCAGGCCAGTGAGAGCTACACAGTGAGACTGTCAAAACAAACAGCAAACACACACACACACACAGAGAGAGAGAGAGAGAGAGAGAGAGAGAGAGAGAGAGAGAGAGGAGAGAAGAGAGACTTTTCTCCTTTGGAAACTCTTCTGAGAATTCCTCTCTTTTTCTTAATCTACCTTCCCTCTACTTAAAAAATAAAACAACAACAACAACTAAACAAATACCAGAAAACTAGACGGGCAGTGGTGGCGCATGCCTTTAATCCCAGCACTCAGGAGGCAGAGGCAGGCGGATCTACAGAGTTTGAGGCCAGCCTGGTCTACGGAGTTAGTACTACTAAGACAGCCAAGGCTACACAAACAAACCCTGTCCTGAAAAACAAAACAGGGCTGGAGAGATGGCTCAGAGGTTAAGATCACTGACTGCTCTTCCAAAGGTCCTGAGTTCAATTCCCAGCAACCACATGGTGGCTCATAACCATCTGTAATGAGATCTGATGCCTTCTTCTGGTCTGCAGGTGTACATGCAGGCAGAACATTGTACACATAATAAATAATAAAGAAAACATTAAAAAGAAAAAGAAAAACAAAACAAAAACACCAAAAATCTAAAAGGAAGTAATAAATAAACCAACGCAAAGGAGCGAGGCTTCAGTGCTGACCCCTGTTCATCCTGCAGGCTGGCTAAGGAGGACATGCAGTTCCAGCGGCTGGACGGCGTGGACGGCCCGCTGGGAGAGGCTCACGGGGACTTTCTGCAGCGCCTCCTGCCGCTGGGTGCCGGCTCTATGGGTCCCCTGGGGCGGCGCCTGTCGCTGTTGAGGCGTAAGAACAGCTGCGTGTCAGAGGCGTCCACGGCGGCCAGCTGCGGGTGTGCAGGCGCAGCGGATAGCACAGGGGTTGAGTGTGGTTGTGGAGAGCCATTGCTTGACCCCAGCCTGCGGGAGCCTGAGCTCGAGCCCCCCGCATGTTCTGAACCACCTGCCCCCATCCCGGGGCCGACGGCTGAACCTTTCACCACCGTACCCATTCCAGGGCCCCGGGCTCCAGCGCCGCCTTGGCTGCCCAGCCCTATTGGAGAGGAGGAAGAGAGTCCGGCCTGAGACCCTAGAACTTGGACCCCTATGGACACCCAATCCTGTACAGGGCATACTGACGACCACCAAGGTCGGCAGAAAGGCGACCTGCCCATTTTGACCAGCTATGTCTCCCAGTGGGGCTGGTGGTGTTAGGGGTCCATATTCTCACAGCTGCTGTTGCTTTTTTTTTTTTTTTAATCTACTCCCAGCTTCTTTTAAGTGGCTTTGCTTCCCAAACACCAGCACCTGACCAGCAACCTGGGTTGTTCCCTTCCAGTGGAACTCTGAATGCCTACCTCATGAATTTATGAGGATTAAAACAAAAACGAAGTGGTGTATTTAAAGCAGTTGGTTTATAGTTTGTGTTCAATAAATGGTTAACATTGAAGTGGTGTCTCTGGCCAAATCATTTGATCATTTATAAATTTATAAGATTTGGAAATTCCTCTGGGCTTTTTTTTAAAGGACAAATCTTTTATTTATTTATTTATTTATTTATTATGTATACAATATTTTGTCTGTGTGTGTCTGCAGAAGAGGGCAGCAGACCTCATTCAGATGGTTGTGAGCCACCATGTGGTTGCTGGGAATTGAACTCATGACCTTTGGAAGAGCAGGCAATGCTCTTAACCACTGAGCCATCTCTCCAGGCCCCTGGGCTTTTTTTTTTTTTTTTTTTTTTTTGGTACAGGGTATCACTGTGCACTGACCTGTACCCCTGATAAAGACTAGGTTCTCTTGGAGCTCACACTCACCTTCCTTGTCTACCTAGTGCTGGGCTTAAAGGCAACTCACACCACACCTCGCCTTCCAGACTTTCTTGACGTAGGTTTTATTCACTAGTGAGAGAGAAATGCTACCAGGTGATCAGAGCTCTCAGCAGGAAAGACGAGTCATAGGAACAGAGCTATACCCCAGGCCCACTCATCACAGAGTTAGCCACTGTCAACCATTTTCCCCTTGCTCCAAGTACCAGCAACTTCAGATTCTCTCGGCACTGCAGCCCTCTGCGTACTGTGCTGGGGGATGCAACCCAGATCCTTTTGTATACTAGCTAAGACAGGCAAGGGCTCTGCCACTGTGCTACCCTGCCCCCAGCCCAGACATGACAGGTTTGCCTGCTTTGTTAATTTTTTTCTTGGTTAGGCAATTATTATTTTCTGTGTATGACCATTTGCCGACAGGTAAGTCTGTGTACCACTTGCTTGCCTGGTTCCTCTGAGTCCACACACCCACACATCGGCGCCCCTCTTCACCCTGGCCAGAGCCCACAACACATCTCCTAGGTAGTCACCTCTGGGCTTGTCCCTTCAGCTTTGCCACCTCCTGCATGAGCCACCAGAGGGCACCTACAAACACCCACGTTTGTCACAGGCTTCCTCTGAGTCTTCTAGGGCTCTTCCCTCTCCGCCACGAGATCCCAAGGGCCTCCCTTTCCTCATCGGCACTCACTTCTTCCTCACTCGGTTCCAGCCACACCAGTCTCTGCCCACCAAGCAAGCTCTCAGCTCAGGGCCTTGCACATGACACGCTAGTGCCCCTGTCTGGCCTGTCCTATCCTAGGTGTTTAGATGGCCAGGCCCGCCGCCTTTCTGAACCCCCCCCCTTTTTTTTTTTTTTTTAAGAGACCGAGTCTATTATGTGCCCCTGGTTGTCCTGGAACTCAGAGATCTACCTGCCTCTGCCTCTCAAGTGCTGAGATTAAAGGTATTTACCACTGTGTCTGGCTAGAAACTCACTGTTTTTGACTAGGCTGACTGGCCAGTGTGCTCTCAAGTTTGATCTGTCCCCCAAACCCTCAAAGTGCGGATACAGGCACATGCAGCCACTATCAGAGGCTTTTGTGGTTGGTGGAGATTAAACTCAGCTCGTGCATGATTAGACAGCACAGTCTCTCCAGCTTCTTAAAACCAATAATAACAACAAAAACTCTACCATTCTCATCTGTCATTGTGTTACTGGTCACGCACACTTTATTAGCATTGAAAAGCTGGAGCTGGGCAGTGGTGGCACACATCGTTATAATCTTCACACGAGGGAGGCAGAGGCAGGCAGATCTCTGTGAGTTAGGCCAGCCTGGTCTACAGACTGAGTTCCAGGACAGCCAAGGGGAGAAATCCTGTCTCAAAACAAAACAAAACAAAAAAACAAGCAAAAACCCCATAAGAATGCAAGACAAGAACCTGGAGAGATGGCTCAGTGGTTAAGAGCACTGGCTCCTCTTCCAGTGGACCAGGGTTCAACTCCCAGAACCCACATGGTGGCTCACAACCATCCTTAACCCTAATTCCAGGGATCTGATGCCTTCTTTTGGCCTCTGTAAACAGCAGACACATACATAGTACATAAACATACAAAAGGACAAAACACTCATACATGTCAAAAAAATGTAGGAAGGGAGGGAGGGAGGGAGGGAAAAAAATGCCAGACAAGGCTTTCTTAGAAACAACAGTCTGTGTCCCTAGCCCACTTTCTATTCCTTACCATGGTGTTCAGAGTCCATTCACGATAGATTTAAAATCTTTATTCTTTTCAAATATAAAATCAGGTTCTTCCCAGGTAGTATGAGACCCAGAAGAAGAATCAAGGATAAGAATCACATTGCTAAAAAGGATTGGCCTGCACTACTTGCTACCTGCCTCTCCCCTTCTCTCCCAGCTAAGGAAGCAAAGGGCAGACGTCACAACCTCAGTCAAGCTGGGTCCCATGTGAGCTGGAGGACTCCAGCAGGCAGCAGGAAGTCAAAGTCTGTTAGTGCTTGTCAGTGGGGCGAAGGCTCAGAGAAGCCAGGCGTCCCAGGGGTCCTCGGCGTGCATTGGTGGCCAGTCTTTGCTGTGCCAGGAAGGACTGGGCGTGGGCAGGAGCCTGCTCTTCCCCAGCCCGTTGCTCCAAGGCCATACCCTAGAGAGATGGTATGATTGACAGGGAGTAAATGGGCCTACCTAAGCCGTGTGAGCCTGACACACCAGCTGTGGAGGCAGCCCACATACCATGCTGTACCAGGCACTGATGAGCAGCTTTTCCTCCTGCTCCCGCTGACTCCGACTCTTCTCATAGTCCATCTGCTAGGAGAGAAAGAGTCAGGGGCTTGGGTGTGCAGATGGCCGCATGGAGGCACGAGGATACCTACCTCCAGGTGCCGTATTCGCATGTTCCGCTCCCACAGCTGTTTCCTCAGGGTTTGGAGTTCTGGGGACACCCCAGTGGGTGGCCGCTGCTTGGGTTCCAGAGTCTGAATGACCTAGGGATTAGAAAAAAAATTACAGGAGAATGAGCTTGATTATAATAACAGTGACTTTTTAAAGTCCTGGGGACTGATTGAATTTAAGGCCTCACACAGACTAGGCAACATAGTTCTACCACCAGCACTATTTTGTTTTGTTTGAGACAGGGTCTCATTCAGATCAACCTTCAGCTTATGATTCTCTTGCCTGAGTCACAAGGTGCCACCACATCTAGATCTCTTTCCTTCTGTCTATCTGTCTGTCTGTCTATCTATCTCATCTAGTCTGGCTGACCTCAAACTCTACCTGTCTCTGCCTCCCTAGTGCTAGAACTAAAGGAGTATATCACTATGCCTGGCTCTTTATTTTTCATTCCACCTAATCCTGCAGAATAGTTGGGAATACAGTCTTGAACCACCCAGGCTTCCTCTTCGGCTTTATGTGATATATTTGCTTATTCTTTGGAATGCTAGTGACTGAACCCAGGGTCTCCTGCCTGCTAAGCAAGCATCGTTAGTGAGCCCCTGGCTGGCAGATCATAGACAAGCACTCTATCACTCAGCAATGTTTCCAGCACCTCACTGATAGATCCAAGACAGAAGTTCTACCACTGAGCTACAGTCCACAGCTTCTTTGCAGACTCCCTTGACACACTGGAGTGCAAAGAATATGACAGTTCACACCATGCAGAAGCCTGGGATACGACATGGTGTGGTATAATGGGTTTGAATGCAGAGGGCAGGGATGTATAAACTGCCAGGAGATGTGAACTGATGGGAAGCACAAGGAGCAGGACCTGAGGCGGATAGTGGTACACCTAGCATCCTTACCGTGCGTGCCTTGTCCACATAGCGGCGGTAGCGCTCCTCCATGGCCTGCAAGTCTGCATCCTTCTTCTGCAGGCTGTCCTGCAGCTCCTCAATCCGACGAGCTGCTGCAGAACAAACAAGGTCTCTAAGTTCCATGCTGCACTCTGAGCTCCCTCTAGCCCTGACTACTGCTGAATCCCAACCCCACTTACTATTGCTGTCAGTAGGAGGCTCCAACTTCTCAATGTATTCTCGTTTCCTCTGCAGCTCCAGATCAGCCTCGTGCAGCTTCTGCCTGCGGGCATGGAAGAAGTGGATAGTCTTGGGCTGGCATCTCTGTCTGCCCATCCTTCCGTCCATTTGTCCATTCATCCATCAATCCATCCATCTGTGATGTGGGGATATAACCTAGGGCCTTGTCCATGCTAGACAAGTGCTCTGCCACTGGGCCACACCCCAGTATCTCACTGAACTCTAGACTGATATTCTACAGCAGAGACATTCCTGATCACTGGCTTCTCTTTCGTCCTAGTGGTATCACAGCAAATCAGAAGCTTCATTATAGCCAAGACCTCCTTGCTCTGTCTGTCTCCTCATCCCATGGTCCCCAAGTTGGTCTGGTCCTTGTCATCATTCATCCCTGGCCACTCTCTTCCACTTTCAACACCTCCGTTTCATTCTCCACCCAGCAGCCAAGGTTGGTGGGTTTTTGGTTGTTTTCTGTTTTGTTTTTGAGGATTTATTATTTGTTATGGAGGGTCTGAGTGTAAGGCACATGTGTCTGTGTACCTGGGGAACTGGAGTTACGAGTGACTGTGAGCCACATGACATGGGGACTGGATTCAAACCTGGCTACTCTGGAAAACTAGCAAGTGAGTTTAACTGCTGAGCCATCTCTCCAGCCCCAGGGCGATCTCTATTTGTTACTTCTGTGGCAGTAAGGATGGAACCCAAAAGTCTTGTGCATACTAGACCAGTGATCTACCACTAAGTCAGAGACACACTTGGCTGGGCCTTTGCTCGCAGAACCCCACTAGGGCGAGGTGGTCTGCCCCCGTTTTGTGTGCCTTGCCCTTAGCTTGAGACACTAACCAGGAAGGCCTTGAACTCCTGCCCTCCTCCTTCTCTCTTCTGAGTGCTAGAATCACACACCACCATCTCCTAATTTTTC